CTATAAAGTAACAAATACATATTAATTATTACTGAAATTATTATTTCAGTCGTTCTTAATGTATCAAAGAAAAGCCAAAAACTATGGTTTTTATCATTAAATGAAGATATAGCCTAAAGATGCTTTGCGGGCTTTACAGCATAACCAGGTTTCATTTGTCCGGGCCCCTGGGCAGTTGCCCCCTTTACCCCATTCCTGTCGGCGGGCCTGGGTGATAGTGCATTAAACACATACTTAATTTTTATGTGTCTTGTAAGTAAATAATAATTCATTCATTCCTTAATGTTGGTTTCATTTAATTTTTTATATACATATATATGTTTTATAAAAAGGATTATTGTTCACGGGTAGCTTAGTATATAAACTTTGAACTAACCTAAATCCCCTAAGCTTGCCAAATTTTTATTTTGTATTAATGAATGTTATGACAAAACGTTTTGCTGCCAAATGGTAGTGTTTCATTAAAAAATTCTGAAACTTGTATTTCCAGAATTATTTGATTTTAATAGTGCTATGCCTACCTGTGGTTGGCATGGCACAGGTAGCCCAATGTGTAGCTTTAAGCTTAACTACAAACAAAATTAAGGATGGCAACAGATAGCCTTAATAGCTTCAACATAAATACAAGTTTCTTTTATATGTCTTGTGCTAGAAAGGACCTTTCTAGGCCTAACACAAGTTGTTAAGCCTAATTTAAGTTGTAGCACCATAAATAAACTCAGACCCTTTTTCTATACACTGTAGTAATAATAACTGTTGGGTAAGGTTTATGAGAAAAGTTATCCTGCAGTTTATAAATCATTTTATTCGTGTAAATAAAAAGAAAATTATGAATTGTACAGTGCAAGATCTAAAACACAAGCTTCTTTTGTTTATTTTAGAATGATCAGTGATGTAGAGGTTTTAATGGAGATAGATCCTAGTGTCCAAAGATTAAGAAATCAACAAAAACAGGTGCCTAAAGCCACTCTAGATAAATGTTTCCAGCATTACTTCAAAGAGGAAAAAGTTAGTATATTTCCTTAGAAAGTAAATTGTGAAGACAAAAAGGCAAGCAAGATTATGTTCTGTGTGTTAAATTTTGATATATGCTGTCTGTTAAAGATATTTTAGTTAGCTGTTGGTAATTACTGCTAGATACTAATAGAAAGCTAAAACTTATAAAATGCTAAGCTCTTGCAAGTTAATAGGATAATCTAAAGATATTCATTGCATCAGTTTTTTGGTGTATGTCATTCTTTTATTGTTTATTAGCGTTATGGTTTATTGCAGACTTCTCTCCTCCTTTTGTTTTTAGGAGGTGTCAAAATAAAGCACTGTGCTGGTCGAGAATGATGAAAGTATTTTATTATACTATGCACTATGTTTTATTATACTATGCACTATGTGTTGTTTTATTATACTACACACTATGTGTTGTTTTATTATACTACGCACTATGTGTTATTTTATTATACTACACATTATGTTTTGTTTTATTATACTACGCACTATGTGTTATTTTATTATACTATGCACTATGTGTTGTTTTATTATACTACACTATGTGTTGTTTTATCATACTACACACTATGTGTTGTTTTATCATACTACGCACTATGTGTTGTTTTATCATACTACGCACTATGTGTTGTTTTATCATACTACACACTATGTGTTGTTTTATCATACTACACACTATGTGTTGTTTTATCATACTACACACTATGTGTTGTTTTATCATACTACACACTATGTGTTGTTTTATTATACTACACACTATGTGTTGTTTTATTATATTATGTACTACGTGTTGTTTTATTATACTACGCACTATGTGTTGTTTTATTATACTATGAACAATGTGTTGTTTTATTATACTACGAATTATGTGCTGGGTAAAAGCCTTTTACTCAAATACATGTGATTGACTTAAACTGTTCAATATTGCAGTTGTGTATATAAAACTTTGGTACTTTAATAAAATATTTTTTCTGTGTTTTTAATCTCCAATCAAGTTTATTATATGGTTTTTAAAGCTTTCCTATTAAGTTTCTTTCTTTTAAATACTAAACCTAAATTCCACTACTATTTTTACCATTTATTTGGGATATGCAAAGATTTAGACAAATTATCAGTTTATCCTTATCTCCATTTACTAACTGCTGTATTTGACATTTTATAACGTTTTTTAAAAATCTCATTCCTGTAGGAATATTCACAAGTTTAGTCATATTTCTCATGCTGTCTGTAATTAAAATTTCTTGGTCCATCACTTGAAATATTTGAACTTGGTTTTAGTTTTGTGCTTATCCAACCTAGTATCTTCACATATTTTTTCCCCATTTTATGACCTTAATCCCAACTAGTTTGTAGTCAGCCAGTACATCTGTAAGCCAAGAATTTTTACACCCAGGCGGCTGGCCCATTTAGGATGAGCATATTCGGTGAAGGGGATTCGAACCTGCAATCCTCAAATTATGAGTTGAATGCCCAAGCCACCAGACCTAACCTTGTACCCTTATATAATTAATTGTTGTTTTTTTCTGTGTATATGATGTTGTTTTAACCCATTTAGGTTTAATGTTTTGCCCATCTTAGATGTGGTTCTCTGTTTTATAGTTATTTCAAATGTTTTGGTCCATAGGTGCCATTGTGCCTAAGTGTTGTTGTTTTTTTCATTTAATTTCGGCTATATTTCATTGTAAAATACATCCCTTGTTTTATTCACTACCTCCAAGAGATTTTTTCCCTCATTTTAACCCAAGTTATCCCTGTGTATGGATATTTTTGTGTCTGCTTGTAAACATAGTAGAATACATGTTGTCCTTACAGTTTGTGTAGTTCACACCTCCAGTAGATAACTCTGTAAGTAGTTTTCAAGATTTTGTTTCCCTTTGTATTTTTACTATTGACTGTCAAATGGAATGTATATAGGCCTTACATGTATACTTTGAGAAATTCTACTCATGCGATTGAGATTCACCTTAGCAAGCCTTTGAAATAATAATAATGCACTCAACTTGCCTATCCAGGAGGCCAACTGGTAACATCTGCAACGAGGTCAGCACGATTCCTGGAATTGTCACTTAGTACTTAACTCAACTGACTATGAAAATGTCTCTATTCTTGATTTAGATATACTATTTGGTATAAATAATTTTTTTTAGCTTTTAAATTTTGATATTGTTTTGTACCTGATCACCTTCTATTAATATTGTATGGGTACATTGAGGATGTATCTCTTCTGAGGGACTTTTTTTTGGGTGGCACATCAGGACATTGTGTGAGCATATTGAGGATCCATTTCTTCTGAGGGAATTTTTTTTGGGTGGCACATCAGGACATTGTGTGAGCATATTGAGGATCCATTTCTTCTGAGGGAATTTTTTTTGGGTGGCACATCAGGACATTGTGTGAGCATATTGAGGATCCATTTCTTCTGAGGGAATTTTTTTTTGGGTGGCACATCAGGACATTGTGTGAGCATATTGAGGATCCATTTCTTCTGAGAGATTTTTCTGGCTGGCACATCAGGACATTGTATGAGTATTTTGTGTGTCTTCTGAAAGTAAGTGGGGGTAGTGGTATGAATGTGAAGTTTTTTATTCTACATAAATGCTACTCCTTACTTTGTGCTTAATTGTGTATTCTATGGTAACTTGTGTATTGAAATCTGTTTTTCTATAAGCTTGGGGCAGATAACGCTTGGATGTGTCCCTCGTGTCGTCGAAGCCAGCCAGGAATGAAACAACTCAGCCTGTGGTCTTGTCCAGATTATTTTATCATCCACCTGAAACGCTTTAGACAGGTAAAGACTTACTCGATGTTCATTTGATAAGCAAGTATTACCTTCTAACCTTGTGATTTGATTATTTATGTTGTGTGGAATATTTCTTTGAAAATAATAATGATTTAGCACTGCATAAAAACAATTGAAGATGGTGGATACTACAAGGACTTGTAGAATCTTGTTGCCAAACAATTTACATGATATTGTTAATGTGGTCATTTATATGTTAATATGCATTAATGAGTCGATAAGTTGTTGAGCACAAGCTGGATTTACAATATAAAAACTGACATAGAAACCCACCTACCAGTCAGAAAAGATAGCAACTCTTACATTTTAACTTGTGTGAATAAAAAATTTATGATATTAAGTAATGTTGATTAAATGTGTGTATCAGAGAATTAACACAGCCCTCCAAGCAGGAATTTTAAGAAAAAACAAGCCAATTCTACCACTAAAACCAACTTTTAAGGAAGACATTTTCAGAAAAAGGAAACTATATGTTTAGTTTTGTTTTCAAATATAAAGCTATTGTTATGGGCCCTTTTTCTGATAGAGAAATTTCAATGTAAAAGTTGAAAACAAACCACTGGCTGTGATATAACTATTTACATTCAGTGTAAGTAACTGTTATTTGTGCATGATGAATAAAAATCCATAGAAGTACACTTTACGTTTTTGGTGTTATTGTTTTGTACAAAAACATCCATTTGCCAGTTACCTTGTCCTTTATATATATATA